GGGCAGTATATCAATGGCCTCTCCGCTCTTGCGTTTTCTCGTATTATTACCATATACAGACAGCCCTTCTGTCAATTTCCAGTCGATTTCATGCCTCGTCCATGCAACCTATATGTTCCACTATTTATTCCTGTATCCATGTTTCTACAGAGTCTTTGCTATTCCTTGATTCGTATACTAATTTTTCTTCATGTTTAACCAATAAACTTTTACTCACAGTTGCCGAATTTGATGCGATAATCTCAAAGCAATCATGTTTGTCCGTCTTCTCGTGTTGCGTCTACACAGTGGTGAAAAGTATTGTTTTATCCTTTGTTATCACCTTAATATTACTTTTTCTTAGCAACGGTCGCAATTTTTGATTCTGTTCGCAGGGAAGCAAGCACATTTATTTTGGGTGGTCCCTTTGATTCCTGATCTTCCTTCCATAAAATCTAAGTTGAAATCTGCTCTCTGTGACACCCACATTTTTTTATATAAATTCTCTGGGGTACCTGTTACTAAGACAAATCGAGTCAGTTTGTACAAATCCTCGTCCCATAACTCAATGTTTGTTAGTTTTAAGCTTCTGATGATCAAAACTCAGTATTTCGATCTTCTTCTGTAGTTATGGTGAGACTGAAAATTAAGGATTATTTCCGCATATTAATTCTTTCTGAATAGACTCCCCATGAGTGCCCCCATGGGACGTATGATTTTAATATCCAGTAAGGGCAGCCGTACACCCTCCTCCACCTTCACTGTAACTTTAATTAGTTCATCAAATTAGTTAATAAAATTGAGAAATTCGTTTAAATTTTCCTTACTATGCGACCAAAGTGCAAAGTTGCCTAGGAAAAATTTAGTCACATGGTTAGGAAAATTAAAATGAACTCCTCAATTTTACTAACCAATTTAATGAGCAAATTAAATTCACAATGGAGTATATTCAAAATACAATTTTTCAATTGGTAGAATATTTCCTCTTGTCAGGACTGCATATGAAGATCTGGATAAGTGATGTATGGAAAATGTAATGATCTGGAACATAAATTTTCAGTTTCATAAAGATGTTACATATACAAGGGCTCGGAGTAGAATTAAACCTGTAATACACTGCCAACAATAACACCTAGCCTTCGAAGGAAATGCAATCATTAATCAAGAGTAACTTATGCTCAAAAGTATACTGGAAATCGCAGTATTCCTGCATAACCTGCTAAATATCTGGGTTTTTTTAATTGCTAAAATAAATGGAATAATAATATGCATGGATTTCTTTCAATCTAAGAATTTAGCTGGTAACTAAAGAACAGAACAATATTTTTAGCGGATATAAAAAAAGATTAACTTTTCAAAATAAATCCACCTTTAAATTGTCGAGAATATATCTTCCTCCGTGCTGTGAGTTACCCAAAACATTAAGTAATGTACGATCTGTGACGGCTCCCGGTAATGGCAAAGAGTCTATTAGCTTTGGCAACTTTTGCCGTTTCAGAAATGTTGATGCGCTATCACGGCCAGAATTTGGGGGTATTACCTCATGAATTTCTATCGTACCATCGGCTGTAAAAAATTAAAAATTGATAGATTTGATATTATAACAAAATACATATCCCCTTATCTAACAAGAATACAAATATGAGCATACTCACAAAGAAAGTAGTGCAAAAGCATTTCTCTTGGATCCCCATAAAGTGATTGGGTATCGTCCCAGAAGCAATAAAAGCGGAGAACATGCTTATCATGATCTAAAAAGCTTCGCAATTTGTCCAGTCTCTCATAGGGCTTCAGAGGCTGCATAGACTCCTTAATCTAGAAATAACAAAAATAAATGAAAAAGAATAATAATTAAATATAAAAATAAACAAATAACGATGTAATTTAGCACAAGCATACCGATTTTCTGACTTGGGAATATGGATCTTTAGGAATAGGCTCAGCTTCTCCTACTCTCACGCCTAATTTTCTCAAAAACTTTTGAGTAAATTCATCGCATGCTACGATGTGAAAAGTTTTTGCATAAAGTATCATATCAATTCCAACATTAAAATCCCAAACTGTGTAATAAAGATCGTCAGCAGGCTTAGGTTTTGCGATTCTATGCCTTTTAATTATGGTGCCTTTGAAAAAAACACATTTATATAAAATAGATAATTACCTTGAGGTAGGCCACTATTAGCTTGCCTTGGTTCCAAAACTTGGATGGTATCGTCTTCTAAATAGAATAATATTTTGCAAGTTCT